GGGGCGGAGGGGGCGGTGGCGGGGGTGGCGGAGCCTCGGCCTCTGGCTCAGGCTCATAGACCTCTTCGATGAGCTCGACATAGTTCGCAGGGAAAAGGCCGCTACGAGTGCCATCCTGGCTGACGCCGGACCACCAGCCTTCGTCGAGCTGCTCGACGTTCTGGATAACTTCGCCCTCGACGAGCGGCATCTCGTTATCCTCGCCGGCCTCATATTCGTATAGAACGACCGCGCGCAAGCCGACGTCGGTGGCCGACGGGGCGGGTGGAGGTGGAGGTGGAGGAGGTGGAGGAGGCGCCGGCGGTTCAGGCTCAGACACGGACATCTGGGCCATCTCGGCGACCGGTGGTGGGGGTGGAGGCGGAGGTGGAGGTGGGGGAGGCGGAGGTGCCGCTTCTTCCTCGACAGGCTCGGGTTCAGGCGCAGCAGGTGGTGGCGGCGGAGGCGGCGGAGGCGGAGCAGGCTACATTGAGTCGTCCAAGTCAGTACTGATGTATACCGAAATCAGTAAAGATCGAGAGACTCACCACAGATGGCTCTGGCTCCCACTCTTCTTCCTCAGGTTCATCGTCGGCCATAGCCGCAGCGATCCCGCCGCCAGCAGCGATACCAGCAATCCCAGTCGCAGCAGCAACCCCGACGCGGCCAAAAGACGCGGGTGGAGTAGGAGCCGCGGGAGCAGGTGGAACAACACGAGGAGCAGGCGGAGGAGTGCCAGCCGAAGGTGCACCACCAAAGCGGGAGGCAATGGACCCGACCGATGGCGCAGGTGCGGGCGGCGCAGCTGGCGTTGTAGTTGCGGCGCGTGAAGTTGCCTCCTCCTCGGCCTGACGCTGTTTCGCGAGCTCCTGACGCTGGCTCCACGTCAGCTTTCCTCCGCTGGGAATCGGCTTGGGAGGCTCGGGCGTCGCGGCCACTCCTTGGAACTTCTCGAATGGGTTATTCAACTTCTTCGGCTTCGGCAGCTGTACGGGCTGCCAGTTCGTTCCCTACATGCGAAAATCAGTTGCGTGATTCAGGCCGTACTGATAGATCATCCTTACCACAGGCGCGATGCGATCATCCTCAGCGGGCTTGCTGGGCTTGTTCGCAGGCTCTGAGCCCTGGAAGGCAGCCGGAGAGAAACCTGAGCTTGCTGTGGGACGAGAGGTGGCCGCAACAGGTGGTCTAGCTGCCATCGGAGGTGGGGGAGGTGCAGCAGCCGCCGGAGCGGGAGCAGCCGCTGGCTCGTCCCAAGTAGGCGCACGTGCAGCAGCAGACGCGTTGCCAAAGTTCGGACGGGACAAAGCGGGCGCGCCAGGTACGGGGCGAGCCGCAGATGACATGGCGGGCTTCGGAGCCCCAGCGGGAGAAGGGACGGCCCTCTTGAGCTCGTTGATGTCTACCTTGCCCACAGGCTGATAGTTCGTACCGACGGGCGCAATGGGTTCAAACTTGCGGGCCTGTTCCTTGTGCACTGAATACTTTGCACCGGAAGCCGCTTCGACTTTGGACATGATGACAGCCGGCGTCACGTCCGCCTGGTGTAAATGTTAGTCATAGGCATCTTACCATCAGTAGATACGAGTACCAACCTCGTTGCGCGCGCTATGAACGACATGTGCGTTACGCAAATAGCGAGCAACGGCGGCGGAATGGGTGTGGAAGAGACCCTTCTTGGATTCGGGGACACCGTCACCGCACCAGTTGATCTGGACGAACTTCGGCAGTTGGCTCTATATTATGTTGTCAGAAATAGCTCCCTGGTATATTCAATTGGCTCACAGTGGGCTCTATCACGCGCACAAAGGCATACTGAATACTATCGAGGACGCGTTATGAGCGCCTATTATCACTATGACAAGATCGACACAAACCGTCCATCAGAGAACTCCTCCTCAAGCTCCTCCAGACCACCATCTCCCGTGCTCTGCACGCGAAGATCGTTGGATCCCTTCTCGTACGTGAAGACCGCCCAGTTGATACCGCGGTCGTTCAAGACATCTTGATACGCTTTACCGATCTCCGGACTGGAGATGTTCACCTGCAAAGACATGCCCTAGCCAAGTCGTAATCCGGGTGAGAGACAGGAGTATATGGGTGAAGATGGTGGTGGTTGTGTGGTGAGACGTGGAGGACAGCGACGAGGGTGGTGAGCTCGGGTTGCGGTCACAGCCGCGCGCCCATCACGTCATGATCAACTGTTGCGGCGGTGCCGAGGAACGCTGCGCCTTGCCTCCGCCCAACATGTCCGAACAAAACGAAGGTCAGCCACGTTGGCTATCAAGTCAGAAGTACAAGCACCCGAACAAGACATTGCCATAGGCGTATTCTCTGTCTCTTCCTCCATCGTTATTGATGCGCCTCCGTCGGTTGTCTGGAAGGTCATTCTCGATTTCCCAGCATACAAAGAATGGTAGGCACATTCAGTCACATTCAATGGATCGTATATCTGAACATCGCCAGGAACTCCTTTGTGTAAGGCTCGACCTCTGCAACGGCATAACTCCGTGTTCACATTGTTGCGTACCCATAGCCGTGCTCAGGTTCAGCTCGACCAATCGAAGAAGCCGCTAGCCGACCAGTCGGTACCTGTTGAGCTAGGCTCCTTCCTGCGTTTATCAGTGCACCTACCCCCCACAATGGACGACTCTGTGTCATTTACGCACTCCGACGAGATTGTCACCGAGCTCGACTCGTCCAACTTCCGCGTTGCTTGGAGGTTCTTGCCGCCGATTCCCGGAATACTCAATGCCGAGCGATGGCAGCAACTCACAGCGACTGATGGCGGGAAGACCAAGTTTGAGACGAAGGAAACGTTCCGTGGACCTGTCGCCTACGTCGTTCGATGGATGTTACGCGATAAGCTTCAGGGCGCTTTCGAGACTTACGCCGACGACCTCAAGAAACGCTCTGAATCCCTCACTTAAATTTCATCTACTATATTTCTCCCCATCGAATGTCATGATACCCTGTACTCTAAATGCGCACATGATTATCTTCAAGATTGGCGTGCCACAAGCAGCGAATGGTTGACACGCAAGCACGGACGCGACAACTCTGATGTTTCGCTTCGATGTGAGATTGTTGAATGCAAGATAACCACATACGCCACGGAAAGCATCATGGTGATCCTATTTCCCATTGATCATTCTGGCTAGCCTGACGAAGTCACTCTAGACGAATAGGTGACGACCAACACACGAGTACCCGCCTCTCGCAGTAACATCTTAGCATGTGAGCGCCGCAGCGATCCCCTTGTTGCAGTGCTACGGCAGCTCTATCTCAAGATGGGATCGGCGCGGAACGTATCATAGGAGCAGGGGGTGAGTGCGGTCATCGTTGCGACGACGGAGGACGAAACGCATTGATGATCATCTCCGAGTCGCATAGTACTGGGGGTGGATCGCTGCTTCTCGATGGGCTCCCAGAACATCGAGTACATCTCTACTCAGTACTGGCGCTCAGCTGACTCCGGCGACTGTGAACGCGAACATCGAATGGACCAGGACATGTTCGCACGCCACGACCACAAGTGCAGCCCGGCTGGACGCCCGAGTTGCACCTTTCTCCGGGCGCAGACTCTAGGTTGTCTATACCCATGATACGTCCACAGCGAATGATGATCATGAACGTCTTCGCGTACAGCCAGGGCCACGCTCATGGGTACGAAGTGGATGCTAAGCATCATCCGCATGGGAAAGTGCTACCCGTTGGACACGCACGCAGTGGTACTCACGATCAGCATCGTTCGCTATGCTTTGAGAGCAGGTCCTATGACACGCTGGCTGAAATCCTCATTAGGTCTCGAGCGCATGTGCAGCGGACCAGACCACTCGCTCCGCGGCCAGGATTTGCACCAAAGTTCAATACTACGGCGACGCCCTAGGCCTGAGGCTCATTAAAGCAGCATATGATTCAATAAATATTGCAGAACTATCTGATCCATACAAAACTATACATGCAGGTACGTTACATTTTGGTGGTCGTTACAATAGACGGCGTCGGGGAATCGAGGAGCTCCTACACGGCCGAAGCCGTCGGCATGAGGGCTTGGGCTTTTGTACCACGGTCTGAACTGTTGTCGAAAAGTTGGAGTTCGTCGGACTCGTCATAGGTGACTTGATGGGTCGTGTCTATAATCACTTCTAGACGACTTGGCGCCTACCAGTCATGCAGGGGTTAAGCAAGATCTCCGCGACTGCAGTGTCACTGGATGTGACTCACTCGATCCCCGTCTTCGGAGGCTGCGCGCGTCATCTGGCCGCCCTTGCTGTCTTGCTCACTCGAAGTGGTTTGCGGTGGGTGGCTCTTGAAGTGCGAGCTGTTGGCACTATCGAGGGGGTAACCAGAGACACGACCACCACGCGTCACGACAAGCCCGAGTTGCTGCCGGCGAGGAACGTTGTATCGATGGCGGAACCAATTGCGCAAGTTCAACCTGCAGATGCGCCATAACCTGCGTGAGCGGCGTGGCTCGTGTCACTGGTGAGTGAGCTTACGTTGCGAGAATGGAGTTTGAGTATACTGCACAGGATTTAGTCAATACTCGAGCTAGAGGACTATGAATGAGACATGCGCTTTGCGATGGTGAAGTATACTTGAGGCAACCAGCAAGTCAGCAACGAGTAGTGTTTACATGGATGAGACTGCTTACTTCCAAGGTATATGAAGTTGTGAGACATTCCCAGCCACTAACACGGAAGTGCATAAGCATGTATGCAAGACGTGAAGGAGGCATCGACGTACACAGGCCATAGATGCTATGACGACCAAGCATGTCAGAATGCCGTCATTCACTGTGAAGACAACTGTGGTGTCGACCATCTCACGGGTCCTAAATGTACAACGGTCAGCAAGGGCAAGATGGCGACCAGCGAAGTAGATGCGAACACCATGTAGCCCTCCTTCAGATTGCGCAAGTACCAGTATCTCGCGATGGACACGTAGACATCCGTAAGAGCGGAAAGCATGAGGCCGGACGTAAAGAGCACTTTAAAGTGCGCCGCAAAAGCGGGGAAGTTATCTTCATTGAACCTACGCAGTGTAAGAATGGCTTAGAGCAAAAGTGATGTGCACTAACATCTCGACCGTACTCGCTGTAGGTAATACCCACTGGTTGGCTTAGGGCAGAACACACCAACTTACTTACTCACCCAGTCCCAATCCTACAAAGAGGTTATGAGTGGTTTCCCCAGGAAGAATACGGTCACCGAGGCATGAAGATCTTACCGAAACGAGCAGCAGAGAGCAATATGACAGGGCCGGTGATCCACCAGTTTCCCTTACTCACTAGATGTCACGACATCATGAGATGGCCGACAAGAATCTGAAGATGCAGGGACTCGCATTTATGTATCCGCCAGCCATAGAATCTATTCGAGGATTAGCGCGTCGTCCATCTTGATGGGCTCTGTCGCCGACGCACGCGTTCACAATGAGTGTGATGAAGGCTGTCATAGTGATATTGACCTTAAGAACAGGACGGACAAGCGCCATCAGCAAGCTACCGAGGATCAACGGCACCGCACTCACAGCGACAGACGGAAATATGTGGGCTTCTATGCCCGAATTGCCGAAGTTACTGATAGTATACTGC